TCTGGACAAGCCTTATGCTACAGACTTCCATTCACTCCTTGATTCATTTGATCTCAAACACCTTACAGTGGTAAGTGACAAGTGACAAGTGACAAGCACGCACAAATCAGGCAACCAACTTGACATAATTTACACACGCAATTGTATTGCAGACAACATTTTGGTAGAACCCCTACATATCTCTGACCATTTCTTCAATATATTTAAACTACATTTTGCTAACTGTGTGCCACCAACCCCTATACTGGTTACTTTTAGACAAAACCTACGCTCCCTTTCACCATCCCATCTTTCCTCTGTAGTATCCTCCTCTTTTCCCTCATGTACCCATTTCTCATCTCTGGATGTGAATGCAGCAACTGACACTTTATGCTCTACTTTAACCTCTTGTCTAGACGATATTTGTCATCTCTCCTCCAGGCCAGCACGGGCTGCCCCTTCTAACCCCTGGTTATCCGATGTTCTTCGTGAGCATCGGACCAAACTCAGGGCGGCATGTCAAAGAGGGTCCATTCCAAAGCTATATAATGCAATTGTATCTTTTCAGTCTATATCTATTAACTCACTTCGTATAATTTGGTCCCAAGACATTGGTATAAAATTAGATGAAGAGACTTGGGCAGAAATTCTTATTCGGGTTCATATCTCTTTTATTTGTGCTCGTCATGCAGTGATACAATGTAAAGTTGTCCACAGAGCACATTGGTCTAAGAGTAGACTGGCTCATATCAATCCTGCCATTGGCCCCGAATGTGATAGATGTCATTCTCGTCCTGCCACTTTAATAGATAGATAAATAGATAGATAGATAGATAGATACTTTATTCATCCCAGTGGGAAATTCATTCACAAATTCCAACAGTATCCACAAACTTAGGCACAATGAGGTATACAATAACAAAGGCATGCAAAAAATACTAAACAATTTATAGGTAATACATTTAAATTTAAGTCCTGTGTAAATTGTTTTTAAAAAAGTCCTGTGCAAAACATAGTGAAGGGTACATAGTGAGTAGTATGTAGTATGGTCCAGAACAGCGAGGAATGTCAGTATTGACTTTTGAGGAAGTACAAGCAGCTCTGTCCTCTCCTACACAGAGCATCCGAGTCCACTTTCTCATCCAACTGCACTTCCAGGTATTTGTAAGTTTTTACAAACTCCACACAGTTGCTGTTAAAAATCACAGGCTCCGGTTGAGGCCTGGGCCATCTGAAGTCCACAACCATCTCCCTGGTCTTGGTGGTGTTGAGGTGCAGATGGTTGAAGTCGCACCATGCAACAAAGTCCTGGATCAGTTTCCTGTACTCCTCCTCCTGTCCATTCCTTATACAGCCCACTTTCGCAGTGTCATCTGCAAACTTTAGCATGTGAAAGGACTCAGAGTTATATTGGAAGTCCGATGTGTATAGGGTGAACAGGACCAGGGAGAGCACAGTCCCTTGCGGCGCTCCCGTACTGCTGACCACAGTGTCAGACCTGCATTCCCCCAGTTGCACGTATTGAGGTCTACCTGTCAGGGTGGCTCAGGGTGACTGGTTGAAGCATTCTGCTCTCCAGGGCATGGTTTGTTTGGGACTGGGATGATGCACAATGTTTTCCACAGCCAAGGGACCCTGTCCTCTTCTAGGCTTAGGTTGAAGATGTGCTGTAGAAGATCGCCCAGCTCAAATGCACAGGCCTTCAGTAGTCGAGGTACTCCATCTAAACCAGCTGTTTTGCTTGGACGAAGCCTCCTCAGCTCTCAGCACACCTGGGCTGCTGTGATCATGGGTGGGGTAACATTCTCCTCTGTGCTGAAGTTTCCTCCAGGGGGGACAAAGAGAGCAGAGGAGGGTATGTGGGGTGCAGTGTTCTGAGGTGTTAATGAGTTGGGGTGGTCAAACCTGTTGAAAAATTTGTTCATCTGGTTCACTCTCCCCACATCTCCTTCAATGGTGTCCCTCTGCTTTGAGCTGCATCCGGTGATCATCTTCATCCCATCCCACACATCCTTCATGCTGTTTTTTTGCAACTTCTGCTCCAGCTTCCTCTTGTACTGCTCCTTTGCCTTCCTGAGCTGAACTGAGTTCCCTCTGCACGCGCTTAAGCTCCTGCTGATAACCGTCCTTAAAGGCCCTCTTCTTCTGGTTCAGAAGACCCTTGATGTCACTCGTAATCCAGGGTTTATTGTATGCATAGCAGCGTACAGTTCTTACTGGAACAACAGTGTTCATACAGAAGTTGATGAAGTCAGTAGTGCAGTCAACAACCTCCTCGATGTTCCCAGTGTGCCTCAGTCTTAGTTTGTAGAGAGGCTGAACCAAGTTTGTGGTCTGCTTTCCCCAGTGCAGGGTGGCGCTGTATGCATCCTTCACGTTTGCATACAGTAAATCAATAGTCCTATTTCCCCTGGTGTTGTATCCAGAGTCACATGATTAAAGTCCCCGGAGATTAACACAAGCACTTCAGAGTGCTGTTATCACAAGAGTGATTTATTTATTTCAGCCTGTAGGTGGAATCGGGAGGAGGGATTTCCCTGATCCTCAAAAGTGGAATGACGTCATCTGGATTTTCTACTATATAAACTTTGATGGCGTCTTTCGCTGTTTGTTTGGGTCTCTCGCCTCATGGCGAGATCGCTCATCTCCTCTCTTCTCCTTGCAGGAGTGATCCTGTTTTCTGATTTTTAATTGTTTTTTTTCTTTTTTACATTAATTTTCAAAATCTATTTTAAATATATTTGTTTGTCTTTTCAGTAGCTGGTTGTGGATTAATTTTTCTTAGTTCACGTTTTGTTATTTAGTTAGATCTAGCGAGGTAAGCAATGGCCCACAAGACTCACCTACTTTATATTCCCCGGGAGCTAGGTAAGATCTCTCTAGGTGGTTAGGAGTAGTCAAGGTTTTCTGTTTTCCTAGCAGCATTATCTGTTTACTGTTATTATTTGTGTTAATCTTTTGTTCATTATAGTATATTTGTGGATAGCATTTTGTCTGTTTGTTCGTTTTGCATTTGGATTCAATCTTATGGCGTAAATAGTCATCACAGCTTCATTCAGTCATCTGTGATTTTCTTATATGTTCGGTCCTTGCCTCTCTGATTAGATTTAACGAGATATTTGTGGATAACATTTTGTCTGTTTGTTCGTTTTGCATTTGGATTCAATCTTATGGCATAAATAGTCATCACAGCTTCATTCAGTCATCTGTGATTTTCTTATATGTTCGGTCCTTGCCTCTCTGATTAGATTTAACGAGCTGAAGTTGGTTTTGGGTCGTAACATCAAGTAATAGGGGTGCAAACTTACGGCCAGACGTTTAATGTCTCTGTAGCAGCTGGATATTTTGATGCTCACATTCCCATGATTACACCACCTTGTGTTCACATATATAGCGAGTCCTCCTCCTCTCCGCTTCCCGCAAGCTTTAGTGTCTCTATCTGCCCTGACCGTGCTGAAGCTGGGTAGCTCCACGTTAGCATCCAGGATGCTAGTCGTGAGCCACGTTTCACAGAAGCACAACAAACGGCACTCTCTGTAGATCTTGACATTTTTCACCAGTGCAGCCATTTTGTCGATCTTGTTCGGCAGTGAGTTCACATTCCCCTTGATCACAGAAGGTACTGTAGGCTAGTATCGCCACTTCTTTCTTAGCCGCTTAGCCTTTAGCTTAGCGCCAGCTCTGCAGCCACGGTATTGCTTCCTCACCTCGTCAGGTAAATGGGGAATCACACAGGCATGGGACTTTGTTTTCAGTGCAAGCAGTTGATTTCTCAAATAAATTAGTTTTGGTTTATGAGAATCCATATCCATAGGATAAATGATAATCAAAAAATCCATATCCATAGGATAAATGATAATGATAATAAATGTCACTCACGGCGGCGCCGGAAGATAATACTGAAGATAATACCCTCTCCTCATTTTGGTTGTCTGTTTTCAATTCTCTTTCAGCTATTTCCTCGTTTAATACTCAACCCTCTCCTATCATTGGTCTATTTGGTGTCCTGCCTACTAATTATTCTTTGCCCCCACTATTTTGCTGATTTTATTGCTTTCCTCACATTGCTGTCCAGACGACAAATTTTGCTTAACTGGGAAATTTCCTAACCCCTATCACACTCTTGGTGGATAACCTTATATTTCATTAAAAACATTAGAAACTTGAAAAAATTAGACTTTCCTTTCACCGGCTGAGTACACCATTCTCTAAAATTCGGAAGCCCTTTGTAGCTTACATACAAACTCTGCAAACTCACTTAGTTTTTCTGATTAAGGCCTTTTCATTCCAGGTAGTAAATTTCATTTTTGTATTGATTTGTATAATTCAGTTTTAAGTGCACCTAATATTTTGTCTCTTTGTCTCAGTATCTCCTAATTTTCCATTATCTTCTGATGAGAATGTACTTACTTAACTACTTCCGCTATTACTTTCACTTTTATCATTGTTATTTTTTTTTATTAATTAATAAATTTTTATTATTTGTTGTTTTCTTTCACCCTGAATGTATATCTTAACAAATCATATATATATATATATATATAGTGTTGAATCATTTACGGAATCTCACATATTAGATGTAGTTCAAACTCTTTCACTTCTAGTTATTTTTTAGCACAACATCCATATGTATTTCAGCAAGAATTTAACTCTGAACATCGTTGATATGTTTTATTATTTGTATTTGAATATGTCTGATTTTAGTGTGAGAATGGGACTTTTATTTTGGAGGGGAGATATGACATCATAAGGCTGTGCCTGGCTCTTGCTCTTTTGTGATTTGGCTGAAGAAAGGTTTGTGTTTTGAGCTTTTGAAGTGTTCCAAACTGTTCAGGCAATTTTATGCTTCTAACGAGAGCTCTTAAATGTATGTTTCATTACTGAATGTAACATTGTAATGCTTTGTATAACATTTTTTAACTTTTTTTTTTTTTTTTTGAGCAAAGTGCATCTGCACATGAGTAACACATTTGGATTTATTTTCTTTCTGTTAATTATTCTCATCTTGTCCAAACTCACAGAAAAACATCCACGTGACACACTATTATACAGATGGCGTTTATTAAAGAGGAGAGTGAAGACATTAGGATTGCAGAAGTATTCAGCATCAAACATGAAGATACTGAGGAACAAACAGGTTGGTTTCTTTCTCAAAGCTGAACTCAGTCAATTGATTCTTATTCACAGTACAGCTCTACAGAAATGAATGATATTTCTGAAGAATGTCATATGATTTTCCTAATTCTGGCTTTTATTTGACGTGGAGTGTAGGCTAAAGGGATAGTTCACCCAAAAATGAAAATTACCCCATAATTTGCTCACCCGGCCGGCCCTGGCCAATTTGTTGCCCTAGGCAAGATGTTACCTGGTGCCCCTTGCCTCACATTAACATTAGTGAATATTAACTAACTTGAACTGACAATGAACAATACATTTGTAACAGTATTTATAATTTTATTTTTGTTAGCGTTAGTTATTGACAACTAACCTTTAAATTGTTTCCATTGAAACTATAAAAATGTAGGTGCTGCCTAAGTCACTTTATAAATTAAACACAATTACACATGTTTGATACACAATGACGACGTGATGTTTCACTCATAATTACCGCAGGCATAAAACAAAAGAATATCATCAGCAAAAATTTAACTGGTTTGAATCAGATAGCTGATGTATATGGAAGTGCGGCTGCGCGGGAGTAGATTGATCATGCGTCGAACCGAGGAGAGCAATAAAATAGTTGTTTTTGTGGGACGATCGCTTTTTTTGTAATATTTTAAATTTAGAGTTTTTAAGTAGTATTGGTAATGAAAAAAAACATTTATTATAAAAAGGGTACTTCCGGTTGGTGTATTCTGGCGCATGTGGCCTGTTTTACACCTTCATCCGGACGTTGTCCGTCAATCTCGTCGGAAATACATTCATCGTGGGTCCCGGCGGAGCTACAGCACTGATGCTACAAATCCAATACGGTCCTTTTGGGCATCTCATCCTCGCTGTACAAGGAGATCTACATGGACTACAGATCACAGCATGCTTACTAGCCTTGCCAGATCGGATAACAGTAACAATGGCAAATCAAAGTTCTCGTTTAGATTATTTAAAATCCGATCCCTTTCAAATAAATGCCCTCTGGTCCACGACATCCTCACTGAATGTAAGTTTTATTTTTTTGTGTCTGAGACTTGGCAGCGGCCTGATGACTTTCTACACCTGAATCAGTCAGTCCCCTCAGAATATGTCTATGTTTGTAAACCCTGTGATTCTGGTCGGGGAGGGGTACTTGCGATTATACATAAAGAGAAGTGGAGAATAACTCATGTAACTGTGCCTACATCTACCTCATTTGAATCTACTGTTCTTAAGATTAATGGTTCAACACCTATCATTCTTGCTACTCTATATCGGCCTCCTAAGTCAAACTCAAAACTTTTTTTTATGCTCCATGTCTCCTACTGTGATTATGTTGGGTGATTTTAACATCCATATCGATAATGTTGACAGTCCACTTACAAGGGAATTTACATCGTGTCTCGATAGTTTTGGTATACAGCAATATGCCAATACTCCTACTCACTCTAAGGGACATATTCTTGATCTTATTTGCTGCTCTGGAATAACTCCTCATAATTGTACAGTTTCAGACTTGTCCATTTCTGATCTTCTTGATTTTCTGGTGCCTTTCAATGTTTATGCTACATTGTCTAAGGTTAATGTAAGATGCTCTGTCACTTTCCGTAACATCAAGTCTATTGATATACCTGCTTTTGCTGATGATTTAGCTAATTTTGCCAGCAAAGTTGATTCATCCACTGTGGAGGACATGGTTGCTGCTTATAATGATGGTCTTTGTGAGATTTTAGATGTGTATGCTCCTTTGAAAACCCGGATTGTTTCTTTTACCCACTCAGCTCCTTGGTATACTCCTGAATTGCATCAACTTAAGGCTAAAGGCTGTCGCCTTGAACGCTTGTATGCCGGTCTTCCGGATCATAAAGTATTATATGCTCATCATATGCACGATTATAAGGACGCTATCACAAAGGCCAAGTCTGAATGTTATACTAATTTATTTAGGGCAAGGGAAGGGGATACTCGATTTCTTTTTGCAACTGTCAATAAGCTTCTGCAGTCTCCCGAACCTTTACCATGTTATATGTACTCCACTAATGTATGTAAAACTTTTATGGACTATTTTAATATAAACATTCAAAATATCCACAAGCAAATACTTTCAAATAATGTTGATAGTGATAGTTTAGATTTATCTCTTATTAAATCTACACTTCCTACCTTTGCTACCTTTAATCTTCCTGCCACTGATGAGATAACTTCTATTATCCAGAAATCTTAATCTACTACTTGCCATCTCGATCCTCTTCCAACACTTAGTCAAAGCATGTTTATCCTCTCTGTCTTCTTCAATCACTGGGATTATTATTTCTTTGTTGTCTTCTGGTGTTGTTCCTTCATCACTTAAAACAGCTACAATAGCTCCTGTTCTGAAAAAAAAAGCAAAAAAAAAAAACAGAAGATCCAACTAATCTTGAGAACTTTCGTTCAATCTCAAACTTACCGTTTATTTCTAAAATATTAGAAAAGATAGTCGCAGCTCAGATTGCAGACTTTGTCTGATAATAAACTGTTTGAAAAATGTCAGTCTGGTTTTCGGCCACTTCGGGCAGCGGATTCTGGACAGTTAACATTACTTACCTTGCTTGATCTGAGTGTGGCCTTCGATACAGTCTCACATAACATCTTACTAGGCAGGCTGGCTTCCCTGGGAATTACGGGTACCTGTCTGTCCTGGTTTAGATCGTATCTCTCTGGACACACTCAGTTTGTCCAACTCAAAAAATGTAAATCTGAATCATCAAATGTTACCGCAGGTGTCCCCCAAGGTTCAGTCTTGGGCCCTTTGTTGTTTATTATTTATTTACTGCCTCTGGGACAAATTTTTAGGAAATTTGGTATCCATTTTCATTGTTATGCAGACAGCACCCAACTTTATATGTCTTCTTTACCCACTTCTGGTTTTCCTTCACCTCTCCTCCTTATCTTTCTGATCTTCTTCAAACCTACACTCCTGCACATACCTTGAGATCCTCTTCATCTGTTTTTCTGACTCAACCGCGTATTAATCTGAACTGCATGGGGTCAAGGGCCTTTAGTTATGCTGCCCCTTATTTGCGGAACGCCCTTCCCCAGGACATCCGCAACAGCGATAGTTTTCCCACTTTCAAATCTCGTCTTAAAATTCATTTATTTAAGCAGGCTCATTTTTGATTACATATATGTGGATCAATGATTATGAATGTTTTAATTTATTTTACGGTTTCTTGTTTTGTATGGATTTTTTGCTGAATGTTTTTTTTGCATTGTAAGGTGACCTTGAGTGCCATGAAAGGCGCCTATAAATAAAATGAATTATTATTATTAATCTTTTGGAGCTGTGTAAAGTATGTTTTTATGATCGCTGGATGATTTTTGAGCTTCAAAATCTACAATAATAAAGCTTGGAAGACGCAGGGTATTTTTATTTATTTTTAATAATTCTGATTGTGTTCATCTGAAAGAAGAAAGTCCTATAAACCTAGGATGGCTTGAGGGTGAGTAAATCATGGGGTAATTTTCATTTTTGGGTGAACTAACCTTTTAACTTGTATTTGTCTCTTTTCACCTTAGACCTGAAGGTGCTGAAAGAGGAGAGTCAAGAACTGAATGAAAATGAAGACAAGTACCTGGTTGAGACAAATCCTGATTTCTTAACGGAAGAAACATATTTTAGCTGCTCGCAGACTAAAGAGACTTCCACACGAAAAAGAGCTCAGAAGACAGGAACTAGAGGTTTCTCCTGCCAACACTGTGGAAAAAGTTTTACTCAAAATGAAACCCTTAAAAGACACATGAGAATTCACACTGGAGAGAAGCCTTTCACATGCAAACAGTGTGGCAAGGGCTTCAATGAATTGGGACACCTTGAAGGCCACATGAGAATTCATACTGGAGAGAAGCCTTATACATGCACTCAGTGTGGAAAGAGCTTCACTGAAAAAAGAAACGTAAAACTCCACATGAGCGTTCACACTGGAGAGAAGCCTTTCACTTGCCAACAGTGTGGGAAGAGTTTTACGCAAAAAGGACATCTTAAAAGCCACATGAGAATTCACTCCAGTGAGAAGACATTTACGTGCCAGCAGTGTGGAACGAGTTTCACTGAAAAAGGAAACCTTAAAAAACACATGACAGTTCACACTGGAGAGAAGCCTCACGCCTGCAAATTGTGTGGAAAGAGCTTCACTGAAAAAAGAAACGTAAAACTCCACATGAGCGTTCACACTGGAGAGAAGCCTTATACCTGCGAACAGTGTGGGAAGAGTTTTACGCAAAAAGGACATCTTAAAAGCCACATGAGAATTCATACTGGAGAGAAGCCTTATACATGCACTCAGTGTGGAAAGAGCTTCACTGAGAAAAGAAACGTAAAACTCCACATGAGCGTTCACACTGGAGAGAAGCCTTACACCTGCCAACAGTGTGGGAAGAGTTTCACACAAAAACAACAACTTAAAGTCCACATGAGAAGTCACACGGGAGAGAAAGCTTTTACTTGCCAACAGTGTGGAAAGAGCTTCACTGAAAATGTACACCTTAAAGTCCACATGAGAACTCACACTGGAGAGAAGCCTTACACCTGCCAACTGTGTGGAAAGAGCTTCTCTCAAAGAGGACATCTTAAAGTCCACATGAGAGTTCACACTGGAGAGAAGCCTTACACATGCACTCAGTGTGGAAGGAGCTTCACAACAGAAATAAACCTCAGGTATCACATGAGAGTTCACACCGGAGAGAAGCCGTTCACATGTGATCAGTGTGGAAAGAGTTTCAAACAAAAAAAATCCCTTAACTGTCACTTGAGTTCACCCAAGAAGTGTGGAAAAAGTGTCAGTCTAAACCAGGGGTCAGCAACCTTTATGTCATGAAGTGCCATTTTTAAGTTTACTAGTTAATCCCTGTGACACAACCTGTGTCCCCCCCCCCCCAT